AAGCACATGCGACCCACTTCGAAGAAAGCTCCCAAATTTACCCCCTGTATCTTCTTGTTAATGGCTTAGGATTCTAGTTTGGTGAGGGCAAGGCTTTCACACTCAAGCACACTTACAATGAATGGAGAAATGAACTCAAGCTCTCTAAAATGGTTAGGTTAGGTTAGGGTTTTTGTGCATAATCTTTGCCCTTTGGTCTTCTTCCTTTGCCATGTAGACGTCATGTGGATTGAATTTTGCCTTATGTATAGCCACTTAGGCAGATCTTTGATCAACATAACATATTCAGCCAGTCAACTAATGTTCTTCCATTGAAAATTAACGAGAGGTGTTGGGCACTTTATTTTTAATAGTTTATGATTTATTTTATACCACTGCATAACATAAACAGATCAAGTTTGCACTTTTATCCCTTCAAAAAAAACAGAAAAAAGAGCTTAGGTAAAGGGCTTAACATTTGACTCAATATTAAGCCCATACAAACCCAAAAGAGACCCTAAACAGATCAAATTATAGCTGACCCATTAGCCTTAGAGCCCAAAATGGAAAATGGGTCTCGCACACGCTTTTAGACAAGAGAATAGCCTCTTCTTCTTTTTTGACAAAAAAAAAAAAAGGCTGCTCCTTTTGCTAGCCTATACTATAGCTTCTTCATGGTTGCAGTAGAGAAAGAACGGGAAGGAGGACGAACAGATTCGAAGCGGAGAACACCAGGGAGGACGATTTCATTCAAGAGATTGGAACAAGAAGATCACGTCCTTCGGGTATACGAAATACACAGCTATACTGGAAGAGATAAGAAAAGCCAGAGCAGAGGGTGAGATTGAGAGAAGACAGAATAGCAGAGGCGGGAGTCCGAGGAGGCGCAGTCTCACATAGAAGGACTGAGAGCTAGTCATGTAACAGGTAATAATATTTGTCTGGGTTCTCGATTCCTTTTGACTGGAAATGAGAAGTTAGAATTTTACCCCAGCCCTTTTCTCCTTGAATCAGCATTTGCCCTTGTTCATCACGCAAGCCTTTCTTGGTAGAATGCTGATCAACCTCTTGGATCTTTTAGCTAATCGTTGCATTGTAAATCCTAACATAAAGCTGTTTGGTTAAGCATGTCAGAGCATTTGTCGCTAGCTCAGTCCAATCTATTAGATGCGTCATAGATGCTCAATTAGTCAATTCAGCTGGTGATTTTAAGTGACTTGATGCGCATTAGCATGTAGCGGGACGGTTGGCATTCTGCTATTCTCTGATGCTGAAGTCGTGAAGTTGGCTTTGTTTCACTTGAAAAACGTTTATTACAAGTTCTTGTAGGCGTGCACTCTCTGTTATGCCTTTGTAAGAAGAAGGCTTAAACACTTTCTTTTAAAGTGAAAAGTTAAGGCATGCTATAAGAGTGACCTTTGGCTTTGTCATGGCATTTCTTGTTGCGTAATATCTATCTATTTCTTATTTTAGTGGGAAATCTCATTCTTTAGATCGTGACTTTACCACATCCTTTCTTAGTCTTTTGTGCTTACAGTCATAAAAATGGTTCTTTTTCTGTAATTAATTATTTTGTATGCATTACTGATAAATTGTCTTATATTTCTTTTCTGTAGCTATCCTGTTCGTGTTTTATGTCTGGTGTAAAATCAACCCAGATTTTATACGTTCCTGCTGATGTTCTATGCTTTCTCTTCTCAAACTGCTGTCAACCTGCAACGCTAAGCCACTATCCAAACTTTTGCCATTGGATCAAATCGTTTATAGATCGTTTTCAGTAACTGCAAATTATCTGCAGTTCATATTGGATGGCTTTGAGAACAAGAATAGAGTTTCTGATTTTGATTTTCTGTTTCGTTCCTGCACAAAGGTGGATGATGCTAAGCAACTTCATGCTCTTCTTGTGGTGTTGGGAAAATTTCAAAATGTTTTTCTGTCTGCTAAACTGGTCAATTTGTATGCTTATCTTGGGGATGTCTCATTCTCTCGGTGTAGTTTTAATCAAATTCAAAAAAAGGATATCCATACTTGGAATTCAATGGTAGCTGCATATGTTCGTTGTGGCCAATATCATGAAGCCTTAAAATGTTTCAGTGAATTCTTGTCCATCTCTGGTCTTCGACCTGATTTTTACACCTTCCCTCCTGTGTTGAAAGCATGTAAGCATCTGGTTGATGGGAAGAAAATACATTCCTGGGTTTTCAAAACAGGATTTGAGCAAGATGTTTTTGTGGCTGCTTCCTTGATCCATTTGTACGGACGGTTTGGTACCTTAGATGCTGCCTGCAAATTATTTGCTGACATGCCAGTTCGAGATTTGGGATCTTGGAATGCAATGATTTCTGGGTTTTGCCTAAATGGGAATGCAGCTGGGGCATTGAAGGTCTTGAATAATATGAAATCTGAGGGGGTGAACATGGATCCAATTACTGTATCAAGTCTACTCCCACTTTGTGCACAATCAGATGATATCATTAATGGTATCTTGATTCATTCGTATGTTATAAAACATGGGCTGGAAACTCATCTATTTGTTTTAATGCTTTAATCAACACATATTCCAAGTTTGGTTACCTGAGGGATGCGCAAAGAGTTTTTGATCGCATGAAAGTGAGGGACCTGGTAACTTGGAACTCCATTATTGCTGCATATGAGCAGAATAGTGATCCAATTATGGCATTTGAATTTTATAAAGATATGCAACTGATAGGAATTCAACCTGACTTATTAACAGTTGTGAGTTTGGCCTCTATTTTTGGTCAGTTAAGTGATATAAAGCATGGCAGGTCTGTTCATGGATTTGTTATGAGACATGATTGGCTTGAGGAGGATGTTGTGATTGGAAATGCGCTAGTGAACATGTATGCAAAATTAGGTGCTATGGATTATTCATGTAGAGTTTTTGAACTACTTCCTATCAAAGATGTAGTTTCATGGAACACTTTGATTGCAGGTCATGTTCATAATGGTCTTGCAAGTGAGGGAATTGATGCTTACAACATGATGGAAGAGTATGGAGAGATAATCCCAAATCAAGGGACTTGGGTGAGCATTCTACCTGCATATTCCCATTTGGGAGCTTTGCAAGAAGGAATGAAAATCCATGGGAGGCTAATCAAAAGCTGCTTGTACTTGGATGTCTTTGTGGGTACCTGCTTGATTGACATGTATGGAAAATGTGGGAGTTTAGATAATGCAATGTTTTTATTCTATGAAATCCCAAGGGATACATCAATTCCTTGGAATGCCATAATATCCTGTCATGGAATTCATGGACATGGAGATATCGCTCTGAAACTGTTCAAAGATATGCTTGCTCAAGGAGTAAAGCCAGATCATGTAACCTTTTTATCTCTGTTGTCTGCCTCTAGCCATGCAGGTTTAGTCAATCAGGGTCAATGGTATTTTTACATCATGCAGAAAGAGTATGGGATCATGCCAAACTTGAAGCATTATGGCTGCATGGTGGATTTACTAGGTAGAGCAGGGCACTTGGAAAAGGCGTATAATTTGGTGAGCAATATGCCTTTGAAACCTGATGCATCCATTTGGGGTGCTCTTCTTGCTGCTTGTAGAGTTCATGGGAATGTGGCATTGGGTACATTGGCTTCTAACCGCTTGTTTGAAATTGATCCAGAGAATGTTGGTTACTATGTGTTGTTGTCAAATATTTATGCGAAAGTTGGAAAATGGGAAGGTGCAGTTAAAGTAAGATCATTAGCCAGAGATAGAGGATTGAGGAAGACTCCTGGGTGGAGTTCTGTCATAGTGGGCAGTAAAGTTGAAATATTTTATACTGGCAACCAAACTCATCCAAAATGCATGGAAATATACAAAGAATTAAGATCTTTGACTGCAAGAATGAAAAACCTTGGTTATGTTCCAGACTATAGCTTTGTCTTGCAGGATGTTGAAGATGATGAGAAGGAGCAAATTCTGATAAGTCATAGTGAGAGGTTGGCAATTGCATTTGGAATTATAAGCACGCCACCTAGAAGCATAATTAGGATATTTAAGAACTTACGTGTTTGTGGCGATTGCCATAACGCAACTAAGTACATATCCAAACTTACTGAGAGGGAGATTGTTGTAAGGGATTCAAACCGTTTCCATCACTTTAAAGATGGAATTTGCTCGTGTGGTGATTATTGGTGACAAACACTGTTTGTTGGTAATCATGGAATATTTATTATTAGTTAAAAGTCTCAATTACACAATACATCCAAGTGAATACTAATTTGCCAATTGAGGATGGTTGGTGACCAGTAACGTTATTTGTTTTAGATGTCAGTTGGTTCTAAAGGCCTCTCATTTTGTCCCTGATTACCTTTTAGATTGATCAGTTGGAGATGATTAACTGAGCGAGAAGATTATGATTTTTCTATAATTTTTTTTAATTATTGGGCTCTAAAGGAGTCAAGAATTGGACTAGCAGTTCTGCTTATTTGTCTTAGAAGATGTCGGATTAAATGTTCTCAATAATCTAAATCTATGCTGGGTGAAAGATGGCAGTAAGAAGTATGCCAAGAGTTGTGACAACTGACAAGGTTTTCCTCAAGGACTAAAATGTTGTTCTGGCCAAGGACTGCAAAATTCATATTTATATTTAGAGAAGGAAAAGAAGGAAATTGGAGTAGGTATCAATATTGTTACTGGTACAATTTACTATCGGGAATTTTCTTCTGATGCCAAGTTTGGTTAGTAAAGGGATACCCATGCTTTTACATGTATTGCCAAGCTAATTTATCTGTTGTATAAAAATTTCAGCTTCAACTAGGGGTTTGCTTGATTGTTTGTAATGAGATGTGCCAAGGGAAGCTGGCGATATATCTTTCCACAGAAGATGCAGAAAACTGTCTTCCCTGATATAATGCTGTCTTTTGGACCAACCCCTTCTGTGTTCGCTCGCTATGTTTTATGCTGATACTGCTTGATTTATCAATGTTAACTATCAGATTCAATTCACCTTTTTAGCTGATTGACCATTGAATGTTCACAACAATATTTCACACATCTCAACCAGTATGGCAGTATCAAGATCTCATGGTCTCTAACCAAAAATGTGGAAAATTTTGATGGACTGCATAGAATGCAGCGGCAAAGTATGTGCTTGACTCACTGTACGTTACATTGTTATTGGTATCTCTCCAAAGTAGCTTAAGTTGAATTAGTGGGGTGATTGAACTGTTAGATTAACAAGAGAGGCCTTGATAGTTGGTACCATTAAGCCAGGGCAGGTTGTACATGATTGATATGTATCATAATTATATTTAACACCGTCACTGCCAAAATGTACGGACAGGTTACGAGTTTTGCTTCTGGTTGGAGATGGTATTTTCCCTGTTTCTGTCTATCTGTTGCTTATAACTGACATATAGTACTGTTTGGTAAAATCATAATAATATTTGGTTCTCTCTTCTCTGCCTTGTTATTCTGCCTCCCTTGTACAAGAACTATTGTTGTTGGACGTGTTAGAATCTTCTAGTATTCATTTTCATTAAGAGTGTTAGGGTGGATCTTTTTTCTTAGAGAAAATAAAAATAAAAAATACTTGTGAGTTTAGGTAGCAACATGAGCTCGTGAATGTAGTTGTGATATTACCAATGTCAGAATGTATGATGACAAATAATTCTCTCTTTTCTTTTCCCTCAAAACAAAAGTAACTACTTTGAATGATTAGATGTAGAGCAATTAGTATTTTGAAAGGAAAAATAACTAGCTAAATAGCAACGGGAATTGAAGCATAAAAGTTACATGTGAAAGAGAACTGACTGAAAGGTAAATATTATCTGAAATTGAAGCATGAAACTCGCATCTATCTATATTTTAGTCTAATCAGTAGACAGACCAAATTATTATTCTTTTTTCAATTCGTAGATAAAGACCACGAGGAAAATAGGCCAATTATTGTGCCTCTGGATTTGGTTACTTGAAACTGAAGCTGTATAAGGAATATCATTCGCTTGATATTCTTTCATTACTTTGGCATTTGTGCCTCCCTAATCCATTCAGTGCAGGCATGGCAGCACAATCTTAAATCCTTGTGAGCTCAGCAATCAAGAGCACATTCCATGTGTCAAGAACTCCCGGAAGACACCAATGGCTGCAATCCATGCCATAAACAGAAGGATGTAGATCTTTTCTTTGCTGTGACAGTCTTGTTACATCGAGCAGATGTACCCTCTTATACATGCTGCCTATCATTCTCTCCACTCTCAGTTCAGCTGGAAGCCTTTTTCTTGGATATGGTGGCCCAAACATTGGCCTTGTTTCTTCACGGCAAAACTCCCCATCATAGTTCCCCAATGATTTAGCACTGGCAAAATGGCACTAATGAGATGTCTATGCTTGACTGTTTGTTCTTTATTGTTGAAACATACAGTAACTGAAGAATGGTGATTTTTGTGCCAATGAAAAACATGAAGAAACAGGTAAATGGTCTTTAACTGTCATTCAAGTATTTTTATAAATTGACTATAATTTGAATAATTCAATTTAAGATTAAAATCATTTATAATATTTACAAATTCGCTATGTAGATGTACTAGTACCAGATTTAATATTATTTTTTTAGTAATTTTTAAATTTTATTTCACAAATATAATATTTAAAATTAACTGCAGATATTATGAGGTGAAATGGAAGGCAAGATCGCCCATTTGGGTGATGAGCACGGAACGAGGATCCTCCTAAACGCGGAACGAAGGCTTCGCTTTCTCTTCCCCTTCGCCTCCCCTAAACGCCGAACGAAGGCTGCGAGTCAGCAAGTGTGCTGTGCGAGTGTGAAGTCTTGTCGCTCTCGTCCGTCCCTTCTCGCTCCCGCTCCTCTGCCTCTCCTTGTCGAATCTGTGAATCCCTGAAGGCGTGAAGTCTTCTTGCTGTCTGCCCTGTATTAGTGGTGTGCTCGAGCTCGACTCCCTCCGTTTCTCTCTTTATCGCACTCAGGTATGATTGACTCTCTTTCTTGCTATCTGATTTGTGACACGTAGAGAGCGAACAAATGTAACCGACTGGAGAGGGATAGGTGTTTTCACGCATGGCGGCCATCACCACACGCGTTATAATGCGAGCCCACCTTCTCGCTTTTCGTATAATTAGAAGCCAGGCAAGGTCCCTGATTGGCGTGAGAGATTGATGACTCTGCACTCCCCTTCTCTCTTTGTTTCTCCATTCCCATATGTCCTCCTATCTGAGCCCCTTCAACACGTACCCACCCTTCATTTACAAGTGTCACTTTCTCCTCCTCCTTCCCCTTACTGTGCCCACTCCTCATTGGCTCTTTCTCCTACTTCAACACCACCGATAGTCATCCCCTTCTTTTATAACTCTCCTGCTTCAGCCTCATTTTCTGTCCTCCTCACTATCAGTTTCTTCACTCAATTTTCTATGCGTCGTCTGCTAAAACAAAATACTCTCAAGCTCAAACAAAGCTAGATATCACCATGGTTAAGACTTTACATCCTTATTCCAATACTGCAAAAACTGCTGAAATCATGTCCAGGTATAGGCCCATAGCTCCGAAGCCTGAGACTCCCGGGAATTCCATGACTGAGGGTTCCTCCCTGTGTCAAAAGATCAAGCAGTCTCCTTACCTCAGGAACCTGTGGCCGCAGTTGCAGGCACGCCCTACCAGGACCCGGAAGAGAGGCAGAGCTTCTATACCACTGCCCTCCCTCAAGAGCCAGAAGACCCATGTTTTCGGCTTTTGCTCGCCTTGCCATGTAACATCTCCCGCAAAGAACCTATGTTTACAGAGTTTTTCTCATAGCCATGGCCTACCTCATCTCCCTCTTCCTCCTCCTAACCATGGAGTGCTCAACTCCGGCTGGGAAAAGCCTTACAATGATACTCCCAGTTTAGTGACACTTCCACTTCTTCCGTGTTCTCCGCCTGAACCTGACATGGTCAAGGGAAGAGAAGAGATTATCGATTTGAACGCCATAGCAGAAATCCCAGAAGAAAAAGATCTCTTGCAGCAGCTGCAGACACCAACAGTAAGCATTGTTATCGCACCTCGGCCAGTTCGCCCCCTTGGGTCTAGCATAAGCGTGGGGTGCATCAATGAAGACCCTAGCCTGCCCCTAACAGCTCGAGCCCCGAAAACGCCAGAGGAGGTCGAGCTAGAGGTTGAGTCTGAGGCCTTGCCTGTTGTTATATCAGATTCAAACAACCAGGTTAGAATGGCAAATTCTGCTTACAAGGAGATGGTGGGTCAACCAGAATGCCCTTGGCTCGACTCGATGGTGACCAGTGATGGAAGACTTCCACGTCGCTCGTGCAAGAGAATCAGTGGGGAGGTGACACTGCTTTGCGATTCAAGTATACCGATTTCATCAAGTGGGTTTACATGCTGGGTGAGAATCGAATGGAAAACTAACGAAAAAATCAGCTCACTTAACGCTTTCTGTGACGTCATCAGATTATCCTGCGAATCCAGGGACTATCTCTTAAAATGGAGGTTTCACACTCGCGGTCCCACCAGAGAAGGTTCTCAATCTAGTTGTAATGTCTGAAGTGTTACTATACATAGTTCTAAACTTTTTAGCAAAGCACCTTGATAATCTTCTGTAATTATCTCCATATAGTATATATGATTATAATATGTTAGGGATTATGTAGAAGTGGATGTCTCCATCATTAACTGCCAATGTACTAATTAAGGAAAGCTGTTTACTACAAGAATATTGATATTGTATTTATGAGATAATCGCAGTTATGATCCAATTATTTATTGATTATTCTAAAAATTATTATTTTATGCCCACGCCCGTTGAATACGTAAATATATAATAATAAATTTACTTCGCTAAAATTTATTATTTTAAATTATTATTTAGAGAAGGAAAAGAAGGAAATTGGCATATTTATATTTAGAGAAGGAAAAGAAGGAAATTGGATTAAGTATCAGTATTGTTACTCGTACAATTTACTATCAGGAATTTTCTTTTGATGCCAAGTTCGGTTAGTATAGAGCGCAATAGTGCCGTGCTATTCATGTAGTCAATATGGGATAAGACTTCTCGTTGTTGCTGCCAAAGTTTGGTTAGTCTAGGAATACACATGTGCATGAATACACATGCTTGCACATATATTGCTAAGCTAATTTATCTGTTGCATAACAATTTCAGCTTCAACTAGGGGTTTGTTTGATTGTTAGGAGTAAGGTGTGCCAAGGGAAGCTGACGATATATCTTTCCACAAAAGATGCAGAAAACTGTCTTCCCTGATATAATGCTGTCTTTTGGACCAACCCTTTTGTGTTCGCTCGCTATGTTTTATGCTGATACCGCTTGATTTACTAATGTTAACTATCAGATTCAATTCACCCTTTTAGCTGATTGACCTTTGAATGTTCACAACAATATTTAACACATCAACCAGTATGGCAGTATCTATCTGTTGCCTATAAGCAGTTGCTCTCTATTTTCTTTCTTTGAGAATAACATTTATTTGATCCTTTTCATTAAGAAAACAAAATATTCATTTTGTAGATCCTGTAGTTAAGCTTCCAATGCATCATAGCATGGTTATAGCTGACTGTTTTCTTTTCTCTCAATTATCAGAATAATAGTAAACTTAAATTTGCACATATAATAGAATGTTTGGTAAAATCTAAATAATGTCTGGTTCTCTCTTCTCTGCCTTGTCATTCTGGCTCCCTTGTACAAGAACTATTGTTGTTGGACGTGTTAGGGTCTTCTAGTATTGATTTTTATCAAGAGCGTTGGGGTAGAGCTTTTTTTTCTCTTTTTTTAAAAAATAAAAAATAAAAAATACTTGCAAGTTTAGTTAGTAACATGAGCTCGTGAATGTATTTGTGATATTACCAATGTCAGAATGTATGATGACAAATAATTCTTTCTTTTCTTTTCCCCCAAAACAAAAGTAACTATTTGGACGATAAAATGTACAGTAATTAGTATTTTGAAAGGAAAGATAACTGGAATTGAAGCATAAAAGTTAATATGAAAGAGAACGGACTGAAAGGTAAATATTATCTGAAATTGACATGAAACTTGCATCTATCTTTCTTTTGGTCTAATCAGGAGACAGACCAAATTATTATTCCTGTTTCAATTCATAGATAAAGAACACCAGGAAAATAGGCCGATTATTGTACTTCTGGACTTAATTACTTGAAACTGAAGCGGTGTATAGAAAATCATTTACTTTATATTCTTTCATTACTTTGATATTTGTGCCTCCCTAATCCATTCAGTGCAGGCATGGCAATACAATCTTAACTCCTTGTGAGCTCAGCAATCAAGAGCTCATTCCATGTGTCAGGAACTCCCGGAAGACACCAATGGCTGCAATCCATGCCAATTTGAAGATGCTTTTCTGGTATGCCATAAACAGAAGGATGCGCATCTTTTCTTTGCTGTGACAGTCTTGTTATATTGAGCAAATGTACCCTCTTAGACATGATGCCTATTACTCTCTCAACTATCACTTCAGCTGGAAGCCTTTTTCTTGGATATGGTGAACCAAACATTGGCCTTGTTTCTTCACGGCAACTCTCTCCATCATAGTTCCCCCATAATTTAGCACTGGCAATAATGGCACTAATGAGATGTCTATGCCTGACTGTTTGTTCTTTCTTGTTGAAATATACAGTGAGTGAAGAATGCAGAATTTTTTACCAATGAAGAATATGGAGAAACAGGTAAATGGTTTCAAATTGTTATCTAAATTTAGCACTGGCCACTGGCAATATGAATTGCTCCAAAATCTAGTGATGGTGAGTATAGTACTAATGAGATGCCGGTATTCCAATTAATGTTATAAGTAACTGGTAAATGATTTTGATATTTTTTTTATCTAAAATTATTGGACTTACTTCGTATGCGTTGGTGAAATCCCTTGGAAGAATACTTCAGTTTTGGTAAAATCAATGTTCTCATTTACCCATTTAGCCCATGTTGACAAGGCTATCTCGTAGGCAGCTAAACGATCCATGTCTTTATGTAAATCTTCTCCATCTGTAATGAAATCCCATCTGCATTCAATTCAAAACCGTTGCAAACAAATTACAACGTGAAACAAATAAAACTGGGGGCAAAAACGGGTTCATGTACTGTTTTTTTTTTTTTTTTTACATTAAGGATCATATATTTGTGATTATAGGTCCTTTAAGTTCATTCGTGGAACATTTTACATGATTTTTTCCACGTGGTATCTCTCAACAAGGTCAAACCTTCTGACAATTAGATCTACTTTAAGAATCTATTCTAACCTTTTTAAAGTTTAGAAGTTTGAGAGTCTGAGTAAATAAAATATGATAGCTCAATCTCCTCATAGGTAGAAATTCCTGTAGAATGACCTTGTTCTAATGTATTGTATCTTTAGCCTAGTTGATATTGTTATTGATTTTTGAATGAGAACAGAACATTCAGCTTCATCTATATATGTCAATTAGTCTTATGTTCTTACGGTTGTTTCCTGCCACGGTGAAGCCACCAATGCCACGAGTTGAACACCAAGACATGGCTCCCTCGCCACAGTTTAGCATCATCTTCAGAAATGGAATTCAGTTTCAGAACCCTCCCCCATGACTTGTGAGCAATGTCTACAAGCAGTGCGTTTCTGGAAAGTATCAACGACACATTGTGGTCCTACAGAAGAGCACATGAACTGTTTGTTATTCAGCATGAATATGCAAGAACTCAACTTCAGAAGGTTGTAGGGGCTGACCGTATAATCCAATCTCATGCTTGTCTTGTCGAACATTTTTACAAGAAACTCACTTCAAAAACCTTATGGATGCTCTCTCTACCTACTTTTTTCTAGTTCTTCATTGTGTTATTGGATGGTGAACATATTTGTTTTTAATTATCTTGGTCTTACTCCCTCCTAGTGAGATAAAGCCTTGTTGTTGTATTTGGTCTTACACTTATGCCACATTATATTTTAGTTATTGCCATTTTATCTGGAAAAAGATTTAGGTAAAAAGGGTTGACTCTCTCTCTCTCACACGCGCGCGCACACACAAGGAGAGTTTCAGTTTTGTCCTGCATATTTGCAAAAACTCTAAGGTCCTATTTGGTGCAGGAATCATGATTTCGTGGGAAGTATGAAGCCATCAAAATTTGTGGACGCTTGTTACGTCATCATAAATGATAAGGTACATAACATATATTGAAGAGCACCTTAAATCCAATCATGTAGTTTGTTCAATGAAAGATTATAAGAGAAAGAAAAGCTGACCAGAAAGGTGTAGGTAGAGACACCTTCGACTCGCTCTGAAATGTGAGCAGCATGAGGAACTCGAGAATGAAGCATGCAGGCGAGTGACTGCCACTGGTTCAAGCTTATGGAGTCTCCCACAAACATTATTCTCTTATTCCTATACTTCTCCAAGAACTTAGTTGCACTAAACCTGTGTCACATTAATTGCTACACATTCATATTTATAGGAATTCACTCTGGAATTTTAAAACTTAAATTTATCAATCTATGCATTGTCAAAGATTCACAATTCATCAAAAAATAAACAAAAAGGATAAGTACCTTGGCAGGTTGCATGAATAGGGTTTCCATCTGTATTTGACATAAAGATTATCAGGACGACCATTTTGCTGGCAAGCAAATGGTATCTCTACGAAGGAACACTGACTTGAATTGTATAGAGGATATGAAGAGTCATAAACCCATCTTCCATTGTATATATCACACCCCTTAAGCTCTTCTTTTCCATTCACAACCCCACTAAATGGTACTAGTATTACCACCAAAATTACAGCAACAGGAACAGCCATTGCCAAAATGTGTGTATCTGAATTTTATATTCTGGAAGCTTAAATAGAGAGCGTTTATATATATGTAGTGTTGGCAATTGGTTTTTGTTGTCTTGGATTTATGAACGATGGGGACGTGATGGTTTGCTTTAAAGAAGAAGTTAAATATGGTGAAAACTGAAATCATTTTGGTAACTGTCACTAGTCGTGGAGGAATTCTCATGTTCTAAAGGTGCCCTTTTGCTTCATGACAAGATTGTCGATCCTTTTTCAAAGTAAATTCCAATTTTATAGCACAAAATAAAAATTCCTGTCTCTGTTTTTTTTTTTCTTTTTTTTTCTTTTTTTCTTTTGCCTTTCCACATGTAAGGTTGTGTTGTTTTATAAAAAAAAAAAGGTAGTCATCAAAATTTAATTGGAGCAATTAATTGTTCATTTTCTTATGAATTATTATTGTCTTGAATTTATTGGGTGTTAGTTGTCTTGTGGAGGAAACAAGGGTCTTTTGATTTACTCCTTCATTAAAAAATATAAGGCATTTTTAATTGAATTTCACCCCTCAATAAAGTAATTACCTACTTTCAAACTAACTCTATCTTTTCATATTTATCCCTATTAAACACCCTACAATAAATATAAAGTCATTATCAATAGGGGTATTTAAAAAAAGGAAATGATTACATCTCGAAAAATTAAAAATATCTTTTATTTTTTAATATCTAACTCTTTAAAAAATGTTTTATATTTTGGAAAGGAGGGAGTAGGAAAAAGGATTTTTTAAAAAATATTTATGACCATGTAATAATTATTCAATATTTTTATCTGAATTTTATTATTTTTAAATAATGATTCAAATCATTTTTGAACTTTTGTTCATTTTATTGTTCATTATATTATATTAATTTTTATACTTAATTAGCCCTTAGAATATAATAATTATCAAAGATTTATAACGAAAGGTATTTTTATTTTCTTAAAAATAAATTAAATAAAACAATTTACATAGTTACCACAATAATGTAATTAATTGATCAGGTCTATTTGCTAATTTATTAAATGTATTTACAATCAAGTTTTAATTGAACAGGTCTATTTGCGTATTTACTAATACATTGTAATTGATCCATCAATCAATTATATCTCGGCAATTTATTAGTCACTTTCATTTATTTAATTCTGAATTCTCCACTCCACACGCTTCTAAAATCTAAAATATATATGTAGTTTGTATTTTTCATCTAAATTTGATAATATTGATATTTCACTTTTTCTCTTTATACAACGATTAGCTTTTTTTTTTTTTTTTGCCTTTTATTGACCAGGGAATTGGAAAAGGACTACCCACGCTTCTTGAATTTTGATGCCTCTCATTCTATTTTCAATAAAAATGGAAATAAACCATTCCTTTTACATAATAGTATAAAAAAATGTGAATTGCACTCATATTTACTTCTTCCGTTAAAAAATATAAAGTATTTTTTAAGAGTTAAATGTAAAAAAAAATAAAAAATATTTTATGTGTTTTAAGATATAATCATTGAGGTTTTTTTAAAGTGCCTCTAATAAATAAATTATTTTATATTTATTTTAAAATAAAATACTTCATTAAATAAGAATAAATATAAAAAAATGATATTAACTTAAAGACAATAGTTATTTTATTGGAGGGTTTGAAATTTAGTTAAAAATATTTTTAATGGAGGAGTATATAACTAAAATTTTATCATTGTAGGTAATTTAATAAATTGTTATTAGATAATTTTCTTTCTTGTTATAGTTTTTTTTTGGCCGACTTGTTATTACATTATTTTTTTTTTTGCCCATACCATGTAACATGCCCTGTAGCATATTCCCTCTTTTTCAATTTCAATGTACAAGTAACTTTTAACTCACAAATAAAAAATGTTAATTAAAATTAATTGATATTATTTTATCAGAAAAAATTAATTGATATTATCCCTTAAAATGTTATAATTTTATTAAAATTTTTAGAGATTTTATCATCAATGAATTTCGATCAAATTATTCTTATAATATTATTAAAAATTTGACATGCGAAATTACAATTTGTTATTGTGTTATTGTAAATATAAAAAATAAAATTATAATTATTTAAACAAAATTTATAATCATTATTTATCATTTTTAAGACCCATAACAATATTATAAATTTAACATGCAAAATTATAATTTTTTATTATATTATTGTGAATATAAAAAGCCAAATTGTAATAATTTAAATAAAAATTTATAATTATTGCTTGTTATTTTTAACATTTGTAATAATATTAAGAATTTAACATAAGATGATCATTTTATTTTTAACAAAGACAATTTAATCATTTATATAAATTTATTAATAATAAAAAAACTCCTAAAGATTTTGAAAAAATTATGACATTTTAAAAATTAAATTATTATTTATATAATTTAAAAAAAATTATTGTCATTTTCCCTACATTCTAACTCACTTTTACTTAATTCCCTCAATTTTCTCTTCACCACACTTGCTCAGCAATATTCATAGTAAGAGCACCATTAATAATAATAATAATAATAATAATAATAATTGCAATAATTGCTTTATGGATTTTACAAAATACTTGCACAGACGAACAAAAAAAGCTTCTAAGAAGATTATTTTAGTAGCATCATTCCATTATTGTTTCTCCGTAATCTATTCCAACATACCAAACCTGTTAGTTTATAGTCGTTTTATCCATAATGATATTTACTTTCAATTTGAAAAAAGAGAAAAACCTGATCCAAAAAATAATTTAAAAAGTATAATATATACCATTCTACTCTAGCACATCCACACACACAGAGTTATTGTCTTTGTATACGTAAAAGGAAAGGAGGACATGGCTGATTCACAGTAATAACATCTATCTTTAGAGCAGCGTACAAAAGAGAGAAGACATAGATTCTCGGCTCACAGCCACAATCACTCACTTTTTTTCTCCATGAACATGGTTGATAGGAAGATGCATGAAGTTATCATATGCTACAAGGAAAAAGATATATGTAGATATGAATATTCCAAGTATGATAGGTACCAGCTCCATCACCTTCAAAGCTTAGGAATAATAATCTGTAAAAATCCATCCCTGAAATTGAAAACCAAAAAAATCATCAGTTTCATTTTTACAGCATATCTATATATATATACTGATGTCAGAAAACAGAGATATTTTTATGTAGACTCGTTGGCCAATTGTTGTAATTAATCAGTAGGAACTCAGGATAACAATAAAGAAGTCCTCTTGTAACATTCGGTTCACTTGATCTAGATTTGATTAACTTATGCGGTAACAAAAGAGATACAGTGAAATGATACTATAACCAGAAAATGCCAACTACAGTCCCTTTTAGTATAGTCCCTTTTAGTATTAATAACATGCAAAACTGTTTAAGATTAGTTTCTTACAATATCTAGCTATTACATTTTTTTGTATCGGAACTTATTATTGCTGATATATCATGTGCACCTAGGAATTTACCAATGTAAGCTAAAACCATTTCCAATCCATTAACATAACGAAGAGGTTAGGGAACCATAGAAGCCTAAGTTTTAAAAATCACATCTCAAAAACCAGTACTGCTCAAGCTTTTAATTTGAGCTCATGATATAATAAAGGCAATGTAGCAGGCTTTTAAGAGGTCAGAAAATTAATGTGATCTATTATCTTGATCAATGGGAGCAATGGGCACATAATTTTCTTTGGATCATCAGAAGAAAAATTTAGGTGCATAAGTTAAATAAAGCTGAAGTTATTGAATTTCTAAACAGTCCCAACCCATATGGGCATTTCACAGCGTAAGTTGAAAACATAGTGCCCATGAAATGAAAAACCAAGATATGAACAAGAGAAATCCTCATGTACTCATAGATGAAGTAAAATTCTCATTTGTTTCTTATAGAGGCGCTCTTGAACCTCAATCAGAAATTGCAAATTCCCATCAGAAGGAAAAGTAACGAACATAGTTGTTAGATTCACAAGTCTTCCCACTGTATATTGACAACTCAGGCCTAACAGTACTAATCCACAATGAGAATGTTAATTCTGAACTTTGTCAGTAATTAATATAATCAGCCAAGAGTCCAGTGACTGCAAACAGGTGAAAACTGGATGAAATTAACATAATGCAACAGATCAAATTAGCAATGATTTTTAATATTTAAAAATACAATCCATGTCATAGCTGTTGCCATACACACGAACAATGAATTAATGAGAAGATGCCTTGGCACTTACAGAAACTCAGCGGATACTCTGTCCTTGTTCACACTAGCAGGAAGTGGCCAAACAACCTCATATGGTCCATATAATATCTCTCTTCTGTGATATGAAGAAAATGAACCATTCGGATTACCAGTGACTCTCCAAAAGCTAGAGGAACGTTTACCTTTGACAGACAACCTGCCATGGCACACAGTGGTATTTCAATCAGAAATGAAGATGTCTAAAACTTTCGAACAATTTGTACTCAAGATCTAGAATGGCTTTGAACACATAGTGGTCCTTATTTTTTCAACTTCATGTGTTGACACTGGAAACCAGAATGGCTGTAGATAAGAAAAGCATCGTACTTTTGATCATCAACCTCTACTCTTATGTCCTTGATACTGACACCTGGAACTTCCACTGTCATAACATATTTTCCTTCTGATTCTGCAATATCCATCCTTGGGGACCACTCTACACCTGCAAAGAAAATTCCAAGAAAATTTAGTTTCATTACTAAAGTGGCAAAATGACAATTATAAGATTCTACATTGCATACTGTTAACATTATCAAAAACTCAAACAGATCATTGTGAGAATAGATCAAGTTTAAAGGGAGACAACTCAAGAAGCAAAACAAGAGGCAATGTTGAAGTTAAACTTTATTATCGTATCTACTCATTCAACTTGTGCAGGCTTACGTAAACAAGAATATGAAACCTTAAGAATTGTAAGACAAGAAAATACAATCAACAATGATTATAATAATTACAATAATCAATGTGAGGAGTAACCTAAATAGAATATAAAATTCCACTAAATAAAAAACACAAATAACTCCAAATCACCCGTAAACAAATAACATTTAACATACTGCATCAGCAGGAACATATGCAAATTGTAACCAAATGTCTCCCAATTCTGTAACTGATCCTATCGTACGGATACCACTGATTGCTTGCATGAAGACTATTTTGATTAACAGAACTTAGTCACTCCAGCAACTGCATGAAGCCTTTATCCCAAAGATATGATTTAAGGCTGCTTGCTGTAGTTATTTTAACAAAGTCCGTGTCCACAAACAGAAAACAATTCAGAATAATAGATTCTTTTTCCCATGAAATCCTAATAATACAGAGTTCAAAACACTAACCGCTGACTTCAGAACGGCACATTTTCTTCTCAGAATGTAACTGATCATTTTTTGCTGCCAGTCTGCCTCGTCTTGCGAAACTAGGAGGGTCCGGTGCTATAACATCATAGCTCTGGACCAGGGGCTGGCCCATTGAAACATTTGAGAAGTTTGATTCGGTCCCCATAGGTCTGGCAAAACAAGGTTCTCTTACATTATAAGGAGTCTCAGATGCAACACCACAGGATTTGGTAGCCACAGAGGAAGTCAAGCTACTCTGGAAATTTGACTCTGTCCTTGCAAGTCTAGCAAAACAAGGTTCCCTTACATTACAAGGAGTCTCAGATGCAACATCACAGGATTTGGGAGCGACAGAGGAAGTCAAGCGACCCTGGAAATTTATTGTGGGAAGATAACTATTAACTAGTGAAAAAAGAATCAATTATGAAAAATTACACAGAATATGTTCATATAAGAGGAATCTTGAACCAGGCAAAAAAAAAAAAAAAAAACAAAGCAATCGTAAGAACCTCTTCAAGGGAACTCTGCCTCATAAAAGGACCAAGAGATGCAGAAGCTTGGCGTGCAAAATAAATTTTGTTATCACATCTTCGAAGCACAGAGTTCAAACTATCACAGCAGTTCTGTAATGGATGAGTAAATAATGAATTAATAATTAGATGAAACCAGATACGTGGATAGAAGGGGATGTTACAAAACTTATCTCACAAGTGCGTCTGTCTAATGAAAACACATAAACATAATTCAATCAATATCATTCAGTTTCCAGTGCAAAAGAAAAAAAATTCCAAAATTGAAAAAGAAAGAACAAATACCTTAGGGAGAAGATCGGTTTGTGAGATATCATCCTTCGATGCAAGAGAAGCCTGCCTCATAAAAGGACCAAGGGATGCAGACGCTTGGCGTGCAAAATATATTTTACTATCACATCTTCGGAGCACAGAGTTCAAAGCCCCACTGCAGTTCTGAAATGGATGAGTACAAGAGATAAATAAAACGAAACCAGATACGGGTACAAAAGGGGATGTTATATACAAGTTACTTCACTAGTGTGTTTATCTAATGAAAACTCATAAACATATCTCGATCAATTTCCTTCATTTTCCAGCAGTTTCTCGGGATCCAAAAATATCTTCGAGCGGGAACTTATCAAAAGAAGTGTTGGCAGATCGACCCAAGGGCACGCAGCGAAGGTAGCGATACAAAAGAAAAAGGAAAAAAATCCAAAAAGAAAAACGAAATACCATAGGAAGAAGATGGGTTGGCGAGAGATCATCCTTTGATGCAAAGTGGGCAGCGATCATGTGGACTCTGCGTCTCACTGCTTCACTCTCCATATCCCCAATTTCAGCAAATCAGAATTGAAAAGGAAGATCGAGAAGGAGATGCCTTTTGCTGGTGGAGGAGGAAATGGTGAAGAATTAAATATTATCTCCCGGGAAGGAGATATTTTTCAAGAGAAAAGAACAGTGACTTGCCTGACTGGAATCCATTGAATCTAAATATCTTTGGTCCCATAGATTACGTGCCACCTGGACCTGAATCCATATTACACACGATTTTTGTGAATTTTCTTGGAACGAAAAGGAACCCCAAATTATCCGGACAACAAAATAAAATGATTTCTTTGACATAGCAAGTGATCGAAGCTACTCTGAAGAGAACAAGTTTAACATACGAAGTCACCTTAAACAAATGACTTTTAGCACTCCATTAGACAAGTTGGCTTAATGATTATCGTTAGTGCACTGGCCTATATTAGGATCACTCACTCATCCTTGCGCAAAAGAACAAACATTAGAAATTGAAAAATAATAATAACAAAGCCTCACAATCTCTCTCAGCTTTGTCTTACTGATCCTGGGGGACATGTATGCTGTTCAGCTTTGTCTTGACTCTTGCATTGGATCCGTTTCAAGGCACCTTTCCTTTACACCATGCATACTTTTTGACTTTTTGCCTTAAATAGTAAAATTATGATACATGGTTAAATTAATACGTTGACTTATAATAAAAACTACATATTTTTTCCTCTAAACGATGCCTATAATGATATGTTGCAATTTATTTTCAGAAAAAGATATCACTTGATAGTAGCATCTTTATGTTTTAGTGTTTTACAGGAATTGCCATTGAAGTATTCCCTCCACCTTCTCATTTTATTGACATTTTTTAAAGTGATTTAGTGTTTTAATATATAAGATGTTTTGAAAAAAAAAAAATATATGACCCCATTAATGATAACTATTATAATATTATTTTTTATTATTTCACTCCTTAAATAATTTTTTTTTCATCCTCTCCCATTCACGAAGGGTGTTTTTAAAAAAAATTATAAAAAAAAAAGATTTCAAACTATATTTAATAAATTTAAATAGTACACAAGTCTTATCCTTGTTAAAAAAAAACCCTTATAATTAAGACCGGGTGTGGTATCTTAATCTTCCAATTAATCAATTATTATCATATGTGATATGATTTTTCCTTCACCATTTTATTTGTTACTTTATATTTTTTTCTTGTTCTACTATGGGAAAATTTTGATTTTATATTATTTCGTATGCAGAAATATTACAGTGGAGATGGGGGAAAATAAAGAAAATAAAAAAGGAAAATGGTAATTCATCCAAGCTAATCCCACAAACTAACGCCCAGCCCACCCGCCAAAATCTGATCTCTCCCATTTTCTTCATTAATCTATCAGGTTAGTTCTATGCTCACCTTGGCTTGTATGATGATCAAGCTCTGGCTTCGTTATAATGCGTTGATAATGATTGAATGTAATCAAGAGTTGAATGACAATTTCCCCCTTGATTTTCTCGAATATGAATGCATGAACAAAAGATACCTTTTATCTGAATTATTGATTTTTATTTTGCTGGCATTCTTCGAGTTTGGCAAGTTTGAGTTGAATTTCGCGAATCTGGGATGCTGTGCATATTTATTATTTATTTTTGAATCATGATGATATGCGTTACTGAATGTAAAAATACAAAATTTGTTTAATTCCTTTTTTTCGTGTTGATAAATTTCCTTGTAGTTTTCCCCTGATTATGTAATTTTGCTCTTGGGTATAACTGTTTACTGTGACAGAATTTTGACATCAATTGGATTCATTTTTAATTAAAAAAATAACTAAAAAGAAATCTGTTTCCACTGCGGCTTACCGTAAAGCAGATAAACTTGTGGTGGTGTATGCGACACTTTGACTTATTACAACACTTCAAATTGCAGCTAAACACTATACTATATCTTTATGCCTTCATTGTGTAATGCTTTGTATGTATTAGTAGCTTTTAGATAGTTTCTCTGCAAGCAAACTCTGTATTTCGGCTAAATTCAAATTTAACTCCGATAATTACTATGTAAATTTTGACTTGTACAGATCAAGTTGGAGTCTTTAGTTTGATCTAAGAAAGAGCTCTAGAGCGGTTGCTTCTTTTAGGTTGAGATATTATCTTGATATCTTTACGTTGTGAAGATGGTTGAAATTTAGTTACTGGTATTAGTTAATCCAGGTACCCAAGCCTGAACAGTGGTTCATATGCTAGCTGTGTTTAAGCTAACTTATGTTATCAGACTTGGTGGCAAGTGATGATACTAATAAGCCATCAGCTGACCTGATTTGCGTTGGTGTATATAAATGGCCATAACTCAATGTGGAGAAGGAGATGGTACGGAGTGAATTGGATTCAGAAACAAAAGATTTTAGAAAAAGAATCAGCAAAAATGATAGTGGAAGCCTAGTTTTTTTTTTTTTTTCCACGAGCTTTCATTTTCAGTTTAGTGTGATGAAAGATGGAATGGTCAATGTAAATTATCAATTTGGTAATGTGGATGGATAGAAGAAGATTCTGATTTTGAATAGCTTTTCTTTGAAAGGAATGAGCCTCAAAGTAAACCTTTAGATAAAGAGAGACTCTTTCCATTGAGGGATTTTGCATATGAATGGTACTGGCAACATGGATAATGAATTTTTTCATTTAAGGGCTACTGGAACTGAGAAGCAGGTGGCTTTTGACATTGAAAATGGGACTGGAAGGGGTACAATTGTTGGCTCCCCCATTTCTGTGAATTCTCATGGATCATTGGAAAAAGTCTCCAGGAATTCATTTTCTGTTTTGAAGACATTGTTTTTCATACTTTTATGGTACACTTGCAGCCTATTTTTGACCTTGTAAGTTCCATCTAATAGATACCCTGCTTAATGTTATTCCTTATGCAAATTCTTCTTACTTTATTTCTTATTCTGAAATGGATCAAGCAGGTACAATAAAACTCTGTTAGGAGATGATTTGGGAAAGTTCCCAGCTCCTTTATTGATGAATACTGTTCACTTTGCAATGCAAGCTGTGATATCAAAATTTATCACTTCGTTTTGGTCTCATAAATTCCCAGCTAGCATTGTCATGACTTGGAGGGATTACTTTTTAAGAGGTAAACTTTCAATTGTTCTGCAACTCATATTTTGTAGAATTCTGGAGTTCAAATTTTTTTGTGATTCATCTTATTTTGAAATAGGAGCAATAAACATAAAGGAGATAATTGACCTAGGAATTGGCCAACCAATACCATGAATCAAGAAGGGAGGTTAGGAAATAAACAAATGATAAAGAAATCCATATATATAGAAATATAAAAGGAAAGAAATAGGTCAACTATGATGCTAAAACTCCATATGATAAACAATGGACAATTGGGAAATGAAAGAGCCCATAATTATGAGATACTAACATATTCCTTTCTTTCTCTTTTCTCTCTGTTTTAGTTTGTTAAGTTGGCCAGCCGAGCTAAACCATTTTTAAACATCTTTCCTACTTAGGTAGTATTTGTGACTCTTGTTTTTCTATATGCTTGATATCTTAGAATAATGTGTATTTTTTAGCTGCATGTGGTGATAGCTCTTGTGAGTCAGGCATTGTTTTTCTTTTCTCTAACTCCTCAAGATTCTGGTGGCATTGTTATTCAAAATGTGTAATCTCTATATTGGCTTATAAAACAAAGACATTGTTTGCTAATTTGGATTTTTTTTTTCTTTGAGAAGTGGTTTTTTGTTTTGCAAGAAAAGAATACATGGATAAACTAATTCTTGTATATTTGAAAATTACCCCCAAAAAGTTCTTCACCCAAAACCAATTCTTTATATTTCTTGAGGCTTAAGCCAAAATTTCCTATATCTTTCTGAATGCTTGGAAATGTTTAAAACCCCTTCAGGATTGTCCCAGACTGAGCCATTGGACATGCATTTTTTCTATTAATTTTATTTTCTCCCCTATCATGCTGTCTTTCCACACTTGTACCTTTATGGGACAATTTTAACTTCTTATTATATTAACTTTTCTATCAACTAATGCCACAGATGGACTTTGCCTTTCACAGTTGTACCAACTGCTCTTGGAACAGCAATGGATGTTAACCTGAGCAATGCATCTCTTGTTTCCATCTCTGTCACATTTGCTACAATGGTTGGTGATATTTCTTTTCTTGTCATGTAGCATGAGAGGAGGAAGGTCAAATCGTTCAATTTCCTGGAGAAGTTACTAAATTCTCCACATTTTTTATTTCATTGTTGTGGAGGTAGCTTCATCTACATTGTCCTTTTATTTGTTCTTGCAGTGCAAGTCTGGTGCTCCAATTTTTCTGCTTCTGTTTGCTTTTGCTTTCAGGTATTCTTTCCTTGTTCCATTTGGTCTTTGTGACCTATCTGATTGAAGAATAATGCCACAAAAACTACTTTTCATTGATTGATTTTGATCTGTACACTCATATACAACTCAGCAAAGTCAATAAAAAAATATTCTCATTAATGATGAAATGTGCACGTGCCCACACTAATTATGAAAGTGAATGATTGAATAAAAGTTGAACATTCTAAAATACGAGGGTCAAATTACTAAGATGGTGGAAGAAAGGACTGTGTAATTGTTGATTGGATGATAAATTTTGATAATGAAGTCTTGTCCCACTAGAAGACAAAATTAGTTATGTGTTGTCATATTGAATGCCAAAGGTTTGTGGTGGAATTGTGTCATTGATAGCACGCAGTTCACAAGACCCATAATTATGTATTCCAAATAACTACTTCGATGAATGGATGCTTTCAAGACAATGGCTGCGTATTATCTGGAAACCCTGTGAAACTAAAGATTGATGATACCTTCAACTTTCAGGAAGTCCACCTTCTTCCTTGTTATGCTGGGATTATCATAAGTTCTAGTAAACTCTCAATTCTTAAGCATTATGCTTAATCAACTTTTCATATTTTCACAGGTTCTTGTGTTTCTAGCATGGATATATCTTCTCAGTTATTCTTGTTTCTTACATTGTTCTGGAGTTACTTTTGTTTGGTACAAGTTGTTTTGAGTATTTAGTAGATGTTGTTTGTGTGGTTTAAGTTTGGGGAAGTCCTTATTATTAACTTAAGAAATGTTGGAATATCTGGGAGACAACTTGCTTTTTCTGTTTTTCCCTTCATTTATTTGGGTGTTTCCTTATGCTCATATTTTCCTGGGCGCTTCATTGCCCTTACTACTGCTATGGCAAAGCATACTTTCAACGACTTCTTTTGCTTCTTTGCTAATGCATGCTTAAAGGGAACCTATCAAATCTGCAGGGAGATTAAAGAATGCATGCATTTTTGCACTGATAAGTTTGTTTGATTTGTAGTACTGTTTTCATTGTCCATTATAAGTAGGATACATTATTTTTCCTTTTGCCAATGTGATGAAAAAATGAGCTCAAATAATTGATAGATGATAAACCCAAAGGTGAAAAGGACACTGATTTGTCCCAATGCCTTAGAAATAATTATCACCCAATGTCAAGTAATGACATGAAATTCAATAGTTTTATGTTGACATCTTATCTTCTATGGTGGCTTTTGACTATTTTGATGTTCTAATACTTTTTCTTAAATATTCTTGTACAAATTGTTTTGTTCCAAATGGCTGTACTTTACAATATGTCTATGTGTTATAGTCTCATAAAATGTAAATTGTTCTCCTTTCTTTTTGTTGCAAGAAGAAATAACATTTTATTTTTCATTTTTAATAATATTAAAAAACAATCTTCTGCGACTTGGTGTAGAACATGTTATGCTTATTGTTTAATGTTTTCAAATTTCCCATATACTCCTTTACATTTTTTAGATGAATGTTTCTATTACTCCCTGTCACCTGATTTCTGCCATTTGATGGCAAGGTTGGAGACGCCAAGCTTTAAACTCTCAGGCATCATGATTATTATCTCTATTGGGATACTAATGACAGGTATAGAAGTCACCTCTCACTGTCACACTTATTCTTGTGCAATTTAATAGGAATTGAGTTGCAAAGAAAGAATCAGAGCTTTAGTACAGTTATGGCTGCACTCAAGTTCAGTGGTTAGGAAAAGAGAGATATTTCCTTTCCAAGACAGAATAATTGTTGCCCATGATTCATTTTCAATATTAAATAGTTCAAATGGCATCCATACAGGAGTGTTTTTTTCTTTATATCTTTTAATTAGGAACAGCTACAAAAAATCCACACTCACACCCCATAGGATCAAACCTGCAACCTTCCCTCTATGAGAAGGATTTTCATGCCACTATGGCATCCCAGCATTGGCAGCATCCAGACTGGAGTTGAGAATAGTTATTTTATGCTAATCAGTTTCTCAATCACATAAATAGTTTGCTTATGGTATTTTGCAACATTTATTAGAATTTGACACATCATATAATTTCTTCCTCATACTTCGCATGCAGATTTCAAGTTTGGTGGTAAAGGATGGTTTTCCTATCATAAAAATTTTAGAATTGTGATAAGGAGTTAAAACAGTTAAAAATTATGGATTTATATTGATTGTGAGTTTTTTTTTTTTAATGTTAATTTTACCCTTGTAAAACAACCACAATGCCAAGCCCTCTTGATTCTTCATTTTCAAATGAAATTTACCAATTGTACTTTCTAAACACTAGTTATTTATCTCATCGAAAATTTGTTGCTTTAATCTTGAGCTTTGTTTCTGTGTACTGTAGTTGCAAAAGATACAGAATTCGAAATTTGGGGATTCATGTTAGTTATGCTTGCTGCTGTTATGTCTGGTTTTCGCTGGTGCATGACTCAGATCCTTTTGCAGGTATGATATCTGAATTCTTATTTCTCTATAAGTTTTCCTTTCTTTACGTACACACACAAAAACAAATGTTATTGTTTCTTTCTGTTTCCTCGTTTAATAACCAAGTATTTTCACTCCATTTCTGGGTTGGAACCTGATTCCATTCTCCTCCTGCATGTTGTCATCAAAAATTAACGTGAAAGAAAGAAGCATATGGTAAGTTCTTTTCATAATTCCATTCCGATAATTTTATGACAAATACTGTCATCCATTATTTTTGTAATATTTCATATTAACAGTCTCACTTGAGACCATCAAAATTCAATTCATTTATAGACATTTTTCAATTTTTAAATTTTTTTCTGTTGTCTGAAAAGAAAATGAATCATTTGATTCTGGTCAAATTTGAGGCAATTCAAGTATCTTTTTAATGATAATGTAGTTTTAGTTTGCCTTTCTTGAAAGAAGTAACTTATCAAAGCTTGATGATGGTGTAGAATTGTTGATTTAGAAGATGACAATTTTATGCATGTAGTCGCAATTTTGGGAGAACTTTTTTTTTTTTTTTCATAACTATTTTGCACAACTGTACTTAAACGTTAGTCCTGCATGTTAATCTGAAGAGTTTAGCATACTAATTTGTACATTGTTATAAGAGGTTAATCACACTCTGCCAAGAACCTATCACAGATTAAGCTTTCAATTATAGGCCCACATATTATTAGTATTAATATCTCTAACATGCTGGCTCACACAAAAGCCATTTGGTCATAAAATATTGACCATTTGATCAGGTAGGTCCCAATGCCTATCAAGAAACAATTCAACCAAAAACCTTAAAGTGTTAAGAAAAGGCCAATTAGTGGGTTTTTTTATTTATTTTCTATATCATAAAACTTTGAATTTAGTTGAAAAGCTGATGTGTCCACGATAGTAACTTTAATTTGAAGAAAAGGATATTGCCAAATAAAATGTCAAAGAGAATAGCTTAATTGGCATAGAACTAATTTTTCACTGCATAGAACATTCTTATCTGTTTTCTCTTTAAAATCTAAGTGAATATAAACTTCATTGCTTATAAAAATGTCAGAGAGAATATAGCTTAACTGGCATAGAACTAATTTTTCCTTCTCCTGCCTATAAATTGACTCCTTTTTTATGAACAATAAAGCTTTGGCAGAGTGACCCTCACCAATTGTGTAAATACTTTTGAAGCCTATCTTATTTAAAATTTTGTATGCCTGAATTAATATGCTTGAAAGGCTGAATCAAATCCAGGAAATGAGAAATGGCCGGTACTGATCGGTGAAAGGATGTATACTATTTTAGGAATTTTACAAATAGGATTCTTGATCATTTAGTTCTAGCAGAAGTTTGTTTGTGAGAACTATGATACAGGACATAGGATATAAGTTTGGGTTTGAGTTTTATGGGCAGATAAGTGGAATAGGGAACCCTTATCTTAAAAGTTAGTTGTTGAGTTAGGAGAACCAACCCACTTAAATATTCCATTGAGTATCCCATATACTGATTATAGGATTTAGTATCCTATACTACTACCACATCTCCATCAATTGACCCTTGGTGTAAAGTTGATGTCCCTATGATTGTACTCGATGATACTTCACTCAATAACACTTTACTTGACTTCCTTGTTGGTCAAAACCTTCCACTGGCCAGAACTTTCCATAAGTAACACTCTCTAAAACTGCCAACAACATGACTTTAATGCCAATTGAAAGGAACCTAAGTGGGATGAGGAGCCTTACCCCAAAATCTAGATGTTGAGGTGGTAGAACAAACCTCCTTGAATACCAATTGATATATTGGTGGCCTTAGGTTGTAGGAACTAGGAATATTATATATTAAGGTTTTCTACAGAAACATTCGTGGGATTGAAACACATAATTAAACCTTTAGAGAAGTATGATAATTTATTATTTAGACAAGAATAAGAATTTAATTTTTTCCTTAGTCAGGGGTTATTGATTATTTTTGGAAATTCAGAGAGGTTGAATTCTCAGTGAATTGCCATTTTCCAATGTTCTATTGTTTAAACACTCTTCCCTTCAATGTCTTCTTAACCAATGTTTAGTTTCCAGTTGAAACTTATTAGTGCTGTTACTTATTGCCAAAATTTTGATATTATTTTTTAAAAATAATTTTAGGTCTGAAAAATCCACTTACCTTGATGAGCTATGTAACGCCAGTAATGGCATTGGCAACAGCTCTTCTCTCTCTTGCCGTGGATCCATGGGATGAGTTCCAAGATAACAATTACTTTAATAATCCATCAAATATCAGTCGAAGTTGCTTGCTGATGATTTTTGGTGGGGCACTTGCCTTTCTGATGGTACGATTTTGGCCTTTTTTTCTTATATGCCTAATTTACTTAATATATAATCTGTCATTAACAGGCTCTCTTGTTTATTTTAAACGTATATCAGTAAAATTTGGTCTGTTTCCTAAAACATATGGACCTTGTTCTTTCTGCAGGTATTAACTGAATACATTCTTGTCTCTGTAACTAGTGCAGTCACAGTCACAGTCGCAGGGGTGGTCAAGGAGGCTGTTACCATTTTGGTATTTAACTATTGTCATATGCTTGTTGATGTGAATATTAATCATTGTTTTTCTGTAGTTTTTAGTCTATTATTTCTATATTACCTGTACTGAGTAAAACATGATTGTTCATCAAATAGTTACGACATGATCATTACAATTACAATGTAAAAACATGAGCATTCACAGAACCATTGTATCGGTGACTTACTCCATAATTGCACCATTTTTCAAGCAATGCAGTAGAATTTTTTATAGAGTTTAAGATATTTTGTGATGTGTAAATCCCATATTGATTATTATTCTGATGGTTCTCACACCTTAATAGATAGCTTTTAGGGGAGGGTTCCCCACCCTAGTTAGGGCCTATCAACTGGCATGAAATCAGTGGCTACCTGCAAAGGATTTTAACCAGTGAGCAGGCCAAATGAAGTGTCATAGAGTGTAACAACAAAAAATCCATGTAAAAATGGAAACTTTTGCTATTAGGAAATCCTTGAGAAACTGAAAAATGGGATTTACTAGAAAGAACTTCAGCAGAAGAGTAAATATTTATTACTTATCATGCAAAAGGCTTTCATGGTTGATAAAATTCACTTCAGAATTTTTATTGCATTTCACTTCATGAGGTGATATTGTACGTGATTGTTTTACTCTTGCCTATTGGATAAGATAAGAAGATTGAAAACAGTTATTTTATCTGTCAGAAAAATATGAACTAAGTCATTTTATGCTGTCAATGTCGATGAAAATAAACAACAACTGGAGTTTTAAATAGTCATTTTATGCCTATTGGATATTTATTATAAGTGAGATTGATATTGTGATTACATAGAAACTTGGGTATTCAGGCCTTTTGTTCAGAAACACCACCAATCTCTTCATTACTCTTTTGAGGGGAAAAAAAACTGATTTTCCTGAAGAAAAAAAAGGCCCAGTTTATATAATTTACAATGATTGTAAAGGCAAAATTAAATGTATTTAAGATGTTTGATAGATAGGTGCTTCAACATAATGTGTTGTTATTTTAATATTCTCATACTGTTTCTTAAGAATCAATATGCTCTTCAGACTGCAATTCCGTTCAAATATGGACCGATTCTATCACAGTTGTATGGTCAAATATTATGATTTCCATAAGTGTATTATATTGTTTATTTCTTTTTCTTAACTATTCTCATATTGTAATCTCTGATCAGACATTTACTTGCACTTGACTTACTGGTTTCATGCTGTTTGTATCTAGGTTGCGGTCTTGTACTTTCATGATGAATTTACTTGGTTAAAAGGATATGGTCTCATCACTATTATGATTGGGGTCAGTTTATTCAATTGGTACAAGTAAGTCATCCGCGTCTATATCTTTGAAGCAATAAATTACATCGCCCCCTCTGATTTTATGGTTTATAATCCGATACTTTGAGGCAAAATTTTATCTTATTTTTTAAGATTGGTCTTATGAAACATTTTGTTTTCCCCCAAAAATGCATGGCAATCTGTTGTTTGAGCAAAGTGGGGCAATTGAATCCTCCTTTTTCACATCTCAATTCCCGGGGATGGTTTCTTTTTCAGTTTAGTTAGAACAGCCTTTCTCCATTGTTGCCCAAATTACAAAAGTTTGAAGTTTATGTAACTGCATTTTTTCTTTTGTTTGTTTTCCTTTCTTTTTTTGTGGGGTGGTTGTGGAATCCACATTTTTGGCTTTACATAGAGCTCTGGCATTAAAGAATATTGAAGAGAATGTCTTTTATTTTATTATTTAATATTTTAATCTGGAAAATGAATAAATTCATGAATTACGCACTAGTTTATATTACGTACAAAAAGGCAACTGAACTTTCAGATGCTAGCACAAATCAATTTGATATACTAGTTTTCCATGTCTTATTGGTAGACCTCAGTTATAATGCTTCTTTGAATGTTTAAATTTCAGATACTGGAAGCTTAAGAAGGGCCATGCAGTTGAAGATCTTGCAGCAGGGTCCCCAAAAGATTCTGTGGAAAATTATGTTATACTTGAGGATAGGGAGGAGCAACATGATAGGTAGTATTTGAAACCTTTACAATTCTATATGATACAAAATCGCAAATCATAGTGTGATAGTGCCTTAGATAACCACAGATACATGTACTTTGGGTTTTTTAGTTATATACCTATGCAAATGTTAGAAATGCATTTAATTAATCAATTTACAACTTGGTCTTCTATTAAATATGGATGCAGTGGTCGGGATTCACAAAAGTTCTTACAACTTCAATCAACCGCCTGTATCTGTATTTGCTGGGAATTTTAGCATTTTCTGAAGTTTTCCTGTTAATCATTGATTCTCAATCATTTTGCCATGTATTGGTTTAACCCAATGACTAATGAGTTCTGGGATCATGGAGGACAAAATACAGCTCCTATATCCACTGATTCATCTCCATTCAAGCATCATAATTGGCATCACTACTAGAATGAAAGTCGATCATCTAGTGGATGAAATTTCAACTATTTGTTCATATGATGCCTTGTAGCTTTTCTGGCTCTGGATCTTCTAGTGTTTGGATTTCATATTATACTATAGTTTATGCATTCTAATGGCAGGCTTTGCATCTTTTCTGGTTTCATCTAAATGACAAGCCTCAAATTTTTATGGCACATAATATTTCATGCGTGTTTGCTTAGGCGCATAGGATTAGATGCAATTTGAATTGTCTCAACTGCTAGTGGAATAATAATTTATTCTGAACAAATTTTAGTCACCTGATTTAATTTGAACAATTCAGATTTTTGTAATGAAATACGTAATTATTTTTAACAGATTTAAACTACCAAAATTCATTGAATGGTCAACTTTTGTTTAAAATAATTGCCACTTTCTCACTGATAATTGAGAGGATCCATTAGGAATGAGATATAGCTTAACTTGGTTTGCCTTATCTGTAGCTTGGAATGAGTACTGGGCGGGTCAGCTTGAATCATGTTTGCAGTCTCATGTTAAGGATCCTTCCTGTTGTATTTCGGGAAAGCAATTTTTCAGATATGTTGAGCTGTTACCAGCATTAATGCTGATGTGGGAGGTTACCTTCCTCTAGTTTCTGTGATTAGAATATGTGGTTCTCTGTAAGAATGTGCTGAATCTGAGGCAGATTTTGGCATTCTTTTTTCCGACAAGATAATAAATACAGTGTAGAATATTACAGGTTGTAATGGATCAAGTGTTTTCCTTACTTCTGTTGTCTTTCTTGGAGGAATTTTTGTTGCTGATCTTGTTGTAATCAGTTTGCTATGTAATAAGTGCACTTCGAAAGGTTATTGCAACGGTAGTGCCTCATCAACGTACACTGCCTTTGAAGGATGTTTATAGGCTCAATCTGGTTTTATTTTTGTCCAAAACTAGTATGCAGCCCTGAGATGCACGGAGTGTGAAAAAATAAAAAATAAATAAATAAATACTAATAGTTAATAATTATTCATAATATAAGATGTTATTTGGTGAAAAATAAATTCTTTAGTGCTAGTTATTGACACTTACAAAGCACAAGCTAATTCCACATTAAAATTTATAAATATCACAATAATGTTTCTCGTTAACTTTTAAATTAAAATTTTTTTGATTCACATGATATTTTTTGGTATACTTTTTGTAATTGTAATTATGATACAATTAAGATTGATTAAATTTAAAGCAATCTTTAGAATAAGTTTGAAAATGATAAGCCAATAATTAATCTTGTATTGATTTTAAAAAAATGAAAATGGTTCAAATTAATTTACATCAAAAATTAATTTCATATAGATTTGTTTTTCACTAAATTTTATGAATGATTATTATATTTTATTTGGTTTAAAAAGAACTTGCTATAAAAAGGAATGAATATAAAGAACAAAAGATCACGGTCATCAAAAAATAATTTAGAAATCTTGAATCTTTACTAATTTAAATACATTCAACTATTTTTATATGTTCTATACTAAATTATTATTTTACTTTTAATATTGGCTTTACTTCTTATGATACATCAAACAATTAAGAGCCAAAGAATTGATTAATTAATATATCTAAAATCACTTACCATGGTGAGAGATGTCAAATGTCATCCAAAGTCAAATTACACCTATAAAATTTGAAACATGTAAAATACATTTCCTTCAAAATATTACATTTTTTTCATCCACACCTATAATAAAAACTGATTAAATGACATTCAATAGCAAAAATAAAAGAAGCGTCACCTAATTTCCTCACACTTGTTTTGAAAATAAACTAATCACAATAATCCAGCCATAAAAATATACAAAAGAGAAGAATATTATAATGTATTTAATCAAAAATTTTAGAATAAGGTAGTTTTATTTATTTTTAAAAATGAGAAAATAAATAAACCAAAATAGAATTAGGGACACATGTCATCAGCGTTAAGTACTGCTTGAGTGCATAATTTTCTTACTATTTTTGAATTAAAAATTTAAAATTATAAATAAATAAGTTAATGAGAAATTGGAATAATGTAAAAATATTTAGACAGTGAGGTAGTATTATTTATTTTTTAAAATTGAAAAATATACAAAGAAAATTAGAATTAATGGCACTGTTAGATGTTGATTGCAGTATATAATTTCTTTATTATTTTTAAATTAGAAACTTGAAAGTGTAAATAAATAAGTTAATGGAAAGTTGGATAATTTTTTCATTAATTTTAAAATTAGAATTTTGAATTTTATTTATTATTTAAAATTATATTTTTAAAATTATGAATATGTAAATGAAAAGTTGAAATAATGGGGAGATGTTTGGAGATAATGTAGTTTTATTTATTTTAAAAATTTAAAATTTAAAATTAAATAAAGTAAAATAGAGTCAAGGACATGTGTTGTCGTTAGATGTTATTTGCGGTTCTACTTTTTTAGAAAATTGAGATAATGAGATGATGTTTGAAGGAAAGATAGTTTTTTATTTATTTTTGAAAATTTAAAAAATAGAGTAAAACAAAATTAGGAACATGTGTTTTCATTAGATGCTGCTTGCGGTTATGCTTTTTTAGGAAGTTGAGATAATCGAAAGATATTTGAGGGTAAGGTAGTTTTTTTTTAAATTAAAAATAAATAAAATAAAATATAATCAAGGACACGTGACGTTATTGGATGTTACTTGCAGTTCTACTTATATATATATATATATATATATTGAATTGAGCATTGTCAATTTAATCGGAATGGTTCAAGTTTTTTATTTGGTTAATGTTTTTTTTCCAAGTAACTCCGCCTATGTTTATAGCCGGTCCCAAGCTCGGTTAAAGGAAGAGGGTTGTGTTAGGCCATCAACAACCAATGTAAAACTTTGTTGAATCTATCATGAACATGGACAATAGACGTTATAATGTTAATGCTAGGTCGTTGCCCGTAAGTAACGCGCTGCATGGCTCGAGTACAGTGATAAGTGAGTTAAAGCCGCTGCATCAGCGCCCGGATGTAGTGTTAAATGAGCAAGGGCTACCGCGTCATTCTGGACGCACGCAGCTAAAGAAGTTAGTCCATAAGAGCAAAATTAGATTTGGTACTTGAATGTTGGGACATTAAATTGTAAATCTGTAGAGGTTGTAGGGGTTATGATTCAAAGGAAAATCAATATCCTTTGCCTGCAAGAAACAAAATGGCGTGGAGAAGAAGCTAAGGATATTCAAGGTTTCAAACTTTGGTATACAGGAAAAGTAAGTGCACGCAATGGAGTAGGCATCATTATAGATAAGGAGTGGAAGAAGAACGTTGTAGAAGTTAGCAGAATTGGAGACAGAATTATTTCCTTAAAAATGATAATTGAACGTGAGACTGTTAATATTGTTAGCGCTTATGCGCCGCAAGTCGGGACAGAAGCCAGTCTTAAGGAATTATTTTGGGAGGATTTGGAGGGGTTGATTCGACACATACCACAGAGTGAAAAGATTTTTATTGGAGGAGACTTTAATGGGCATGTCGGGAGGGAAGCTGGTCAGTATGCGAGGGTGCATGGTGGTTTTGGTTTTGGAGAGCTAAACAATGAAGGACAAACTCTTCTTGACTTCTCATTGGCGTATGATTTTAAGATTGCCAACACTTATTTCAAGAAGAGAGATGAGCATCTTATCACTTACAAAAGTGGAGCCTCAAGGTCACAGATTGATTTTCTTTTGGTTAGGAACACAGATAGAAGACTTTGTAAAAATTGTAAGGTGATCCCCGGAGATGCTGTAACGACACAACATAGGGTCCTAGTCCTTAATGTGTGTATTATGAGTAAAATTTAAAAATGTCAACAAGTAGTAACACCAAGGATTAGGTGGTGGCAATTAAAAGGTGAGAAGTAAGATATTTTCAAGTGAAATCTTTTGGATAAAAGAATTTGGGAATCTCAGGGAAGTGCTAACATCATATGGGAGGATATGGCTAAAAAGATACGGAAGGTTGCAAAAGTAGTTTTGGGAGAATCGAAAGGTTCTGGTCCAAGAGATAAGGAGTCTTGGTGGTGGAATAATAGTGTACAGGACAAAATCAAGTATAAAAAGAACTGTTTTAAAGCCATACATTTGTGTAACAATGAGGAAAATTGGGAGAGGTACCGTATGGCTAAGAAGGAAACTAAGAGAGCTGTGGGTGAAACTCGTTCTAAAGCTTTTGAAGAATTTTATAAGAACCTTGAGACGAAGGAAGGAGAGCAAAATATTTATAAGATTGCCAAGAGTAGGGAAAGAAAATCAAGAGATCTAGAACAGGTAAGGTGTATTAAGGATGAAGAGGGAAGAATTTTAGTTACAGATGATGAAATTAAAAATAGATGGGAGACTTACTTTTCTAAACTTTTCAATGATGGAGAGGATTCATCTAGTAACTTGGACGATTTAGTAACTGGTGAAGGAGAACAAAATTTGTCATTCTATCGAATAATACGTGATAAGGAGGTAAAGGAAGCTCTTAAGAAAATGGCAAATGGTAGAGCCAACGGACCTGATTGTATATCTATTGAAGCATGTAAATGTTTAGGTGAAGAAGGGTGAGATGGTTAACTAAGTTATTTAATGTGATTTTATGTTCAAGAAAATGCCTGATGAGTGGAGGAGAAGTACATTAATTCCTATTTATAAAAATAAAGGAGATATTCAGAATTGTACTAACTATAGAGGGATTAAACTCATGAGCCACACAATGAAATTGTGGGAGAAAGTAATTGAGCACAGGTTGAGATTGGAGACAAGTATTTTTGAGAATCAATTTGGTTTTATGCCAGGTAGATCAACTACAGAGGCGATTTATCTACTAAGGGGATTAATGAAAAAGTATCGTTGTAAAGATAAAGATCTACACATGGTTTTTATTGATTTAGAAAAAGCTTATGACCGTATACCAAGAGAAGTGCTTTGGAAAGCGTTGGAAAAAAAGGGAGTACGGATTGCTTATATTAAAGCCATTCAAGATATGTATGAGGGGGTAAAAACTAGTATAAGAACTCCTAGTGATCAAACAAAGAATTTTCCTATAAAGATTGGACTACATCAGGGATCATCTCTGAGTCCTTATTTGTTCAACTTGATTTTAAATGTTTTGACGGAACATATTCAAGAGGAAATCCCGAAATGTATGCTCTTCGCGGATGATATAGTTCTTATAGCAGAGACAAGAGAAGAAGTTAATTGCAAACTTGAGTTATGGAGGAGGACATTGGAGTCGAAAGGTTTTCGTCTGAGTAGGAGTAAGACGGAATATTTATATTGTAAATTTGGTAAAGGACTATTCGACAATAATTTGAAAGTGAAATTGTGAGATCAAATTATACCTCAAGTGGAAAAGTTTAGATATTTGGGAGCCATTATTCAAAATGATGGCGAAATCAGTGGAGATATTTCACATAGAATTCAAGCTGGGTGGTTTAATTGGAGAAAAGCTAAAGGAGTTATTTGTGATCGTAAGGTGCCTAATAAACTTAAAGGAAAGTTTTATCGCACTGCTATCAGATCGGCAATGTTATATAGTAGTGAATGCTGGGCTCTAATGGGACAGCAAGAGCATAAAGTTGGAGTAACAGAGATGAGAATGTTATGATGGATGTGCGGACATACACGTAAAGATAAAATTCGAAATGAGCACGTACGCGAAAAAGTTAGGGTGGCACCTCTTGAGGAAAAAATGGTAGAAAATCGGTTGAGATGGTTTGGGCATGTACAAAGAAGACCAAGGGAGGCACCAGTAAGAAGAGTGGAACATATAACTTTGAGTCCGATTAAGAGAGGTAGAGGAAGGCCTAAGAGAACACTCTTAAAAGTTGTTGAACGCGATCTTTAATTAATAATATTCTAAAAGCTTGATAAATGATAGAGCAGAATGGCG